AGGGGGACATGGGGGGACATGGAGACGGGGGACATACATGGGGGGACGGGGACATTGGGACATGGGGCAATATGGGGGAAATGGGGGGGATAGCGGGATTGGGGGGCAAGAGGGAACTGGGGACATGGGGGGACATGGGAGGACATGGGGACATGGGGGGAACCCGAGGGGAGGCGACAGGGAAACTGAGGCAGAAATGGGGGAAAAGAGCCAGGAAATGGGAAAAGAGAGGCAGGAACAGGGGAGAGGAGCCCCAAAATGGGAAAACTGAAACGGAAAGGAGCAAAGAGAGCCCCAAAACAGGGAAACTGAGGCAAAATTGGGGTTAAGTGTGTGCAAAATGGGGAAACTGAGGTAAAAACAGGTAGGAGGAACCTAGAAATGGAGGAACTGAGGTAAAAATAGGGGTAAAGAGTCTGGAAATGGGCAACGTGAGGTAAAAGGGGAGAAAGAGTCTGGAAATGGGGAAACTGAAGCAGAAATTAGGGGAAAGAGCTCAGAAAAGGAGAAAAAAAAGCAGAAATGGGGCAAAAACAGAGGAAAAAGAGAAAAAACTGAGGCAAAAATGGGGGAAAAGAGCCTGGAAATAAGGAAGCCAAGATAGAAATGGGGAGAAAGGCCCCAGAAATAAGGAAAACAAAGCAAAAATGAGGAAAAAGACCCCAGAAACATGGAAGAAAGGCAGGAATGGGGGAAAAGGCCTGGAAACAGGGAAAGTAAGGCAGGAATGAAGGAAAAGAACCCCAGAAAGAGGGAAAGCAAAGCAAAAATGGGAGCAAAAGCCCGAAAATAGGGAAAGCAAGCCTGAAATTGGGCAAAAACCCTGGAAACAGGGAGAGCAAGGCAGAAATGGGGGGAAAAGCCTGAAAACGGGGAAAGCAAGGCAGAAATGGGGGAAAAAAGCCTGGAAACAGGGAAAACAGGGCAGAAATGAGGGGAAAGATTCTAGAAAGAGGGAAACCAGGGCAGGAATAGTGGAAAAAGTCTGGAAACAGGGAAAGCAAGGCAGAAATGGGGCAAAAAACTTGGAAATAAGGAAAGCAATGCGGAAATGGGGGGAAAAGCCTGAAAACAGGGAAAGCAAGGCAGAAATGGGGGGAAAAAGCCTGGAAAAGGGAAAGCAAGGCAGAAATGGGGGAAAAGATCCTAGAAAGAGGGAAACCAAGCCAGAAATGGGGGAAAAAGCCTGGAAACAGGGAAAGCAAGGCAGGAATGGGGAAAAGAGCCCAGAAAGAGAAAAGCAAGGCAGAAATGAGGCAAAAAGCCTGAAAACAGGGAAAGTGAGGTAGGAATGGGGAAACGAGCCTGGAAAGAGGAAAAGCAAGCCTAAAGTGGGGCAAAAACCCTGGAAACAGGGAAAGCAAGGCAGAAATGGGGAAAAAGATTCTAGAAAGAGGGAAACCAAGGCAGAAATGGGGGAAAAAGCCTGGCAACAGGGAAACCAAAGCAGAAATGGGGGAAAAAGCCTGAAAACAGGAAAAGCAAGGCAGAAATGGGGGAAAAAGCCTGGAATTGGGAAAAGCAAAGCAAAAATGGGGGAAAAGCCTGAAAACAGGGAAAACAAGAAAAGGGGGGTCTTCCTCCAACGTCCCCCCCCCGGCGCCCCCAGGACTCGCAGGACTCGTCGGACGGGCTCCCGTCGGCCGCCCCGCGCATGACGGGCTCGCTGGTGTCGGACCGGAGCCACGACGACATCGTGACGCGCATGAAGAACATCGCGTGCATCGAGCTGGGCCGCCACCGCCTCAAGCCCTGGTACTTCTCGCCCTACCCGCAGGAGCTCACGGCGCTGCCCGTGCTCTACCTGTGCGAGTTCTGCCTCAAGTACGGCCACAGCCTGCGCTGCCTGCAGAGGCACCTGGTATGGGGCGAAAACGCCGCGTTTTGGGGGTGAAAACGCCACTTTTTGGGGGGAAAACGGCCCACGGGGAGCAGAAATAGCCACTATGGCACTTTGGGGGTGAAAATGGAACTTAGGGGGAGAAAATGGCACTTTGAGGGGAAAAATGGCATTTTGGGGGGGAAAGTGGCATTTTGAGGGGGGAAATGGCGCTTTGCGGGGGGAAATGGCTCTCCCTGTGCGAGTTCTGCCTCAAGTACGGCCACAGCCTGCGCTGCCTGCAGAGGCACCTGGTATGGGGACAAAAACGGCGTTTTGGGGTGAAAACGCCGTGTTTTGGGGGTCAAAACGCTGCTTTTTGGGGGGAAAATGGCCCATG